TTCAAGTGTCTCTGATGAGACATCTAAAAACGGTTTTCATGGTGAAACAAAATGGCCGATGTTCGAAAAAAAATTGCTGTGTCAGAGTGCAACACTGAGTGGCAGATTTTTCTTTGCCTCGTCTGTCAACGCTTCCTTTCTTTTCTTCGCCATTGCTGATTGACACATGAAAAATGCAATTTTGAGAGTGACCAAGATTTTTTTAACAATCAAGTTCGCTATACCAGAACCATACTGTAAAATGGGTTTAAATTTCACTGATCTACAATTTCAGGCATATTCAGTGGGTTTTAAATTAGCACATTTTCCAGTCAGCGAAATAAGCAAAATTAAAACCCAGTGAATAATTAACCTATTTACAGTATTATCATATTGTAATGATTTGAGGCTATGACATTTAGTTTAGTTATTTGCATAATGATATTGATACATTGTATGGAACATCTTGTGAGTATTTAGACTCAGTTCCAGGCCTAGCAGTTGAGCAATGAACACTTTGGCCACAAGTGCTCCTCTCCAATGCGTTATTCTCCTCTGGATTTGGTGACCAATACTCACTTGGTTCACTCTACCTTGAGAAGTCTGTTCTCAGTTTACACATATGCACTTACGTAAATTACAGCAGTGTGACTACGCCAAAACTTAGTCATATTTAGATGATCCTGTATACAACAATGACATTTTTTATTTTATTTATGTTTATTCAATTACAGATGTGCATCTAATAGTGCACTAGCATCACACATGTATAAACAGTACAGTCCGAATGTAGCTTAACTGCCAGTAGTAAAATCAATGAAGGAGCTATTCTGACAAACTTTGTGGTCACTGTGTTGACTCACCTGATACTCCACATTGGATTTTTGTGTTCATCCAGTAATATAACATCTAATATACACATATCCTATGGAGACATAATTTCAAAATCTGAGTTAATTTTTACACTACTGGCTATTATTGGAGTAAATATTCTAAACTTTGAAGACCATAAATTGTAAAAACTGAACCCTGTGTAAAACCAATCTAATGAACTCTTTGTGAATTTTTGTTCAGAGTTCAGCTTAGAGAGGTTTTATGATATTAGCAAAATATCTCATGTCCTGGTAATTATGTTACATTACTAACCTGCACAATCCCTTTGAATACATCAGTCTTCCATGGTAAATGAATTTTCTTGTTGGTATATGAATGATCGTAAGTGACATCAGATCGGATTGGAACTAGTCTTGCATACCTGCCAACTGGCAATAAACAAAAGGTGTCTTATATATAATTGACATTGCAACTGATCACAAGTATTAGCAACATAGTAGCTACCATGACTAGTGGATCTTGAATACAAATGGGGTTGACCACTCTTACCCGGAGTATAGAATCATTCACTAGCAGATGCCACTTTAGAACTGGACACACATGGAATTCATTTTCTTTGGCAATTTGCATTGTATTAACCATTAGCACATACATTTTAATATCGATAGATGGTATATGTTATGGTGGTAAAAGTTTCTCAATTGACCAATATCTAGGTGAGTAATGCTAACAAATCATGCAAATATAAGCTTTCAGAAGATATATATTTCATTGGTAGGATAGTACTTGCTTCCCTACTCACAGTCTCCAGTCTATACTAACCTAAGTCTTGCTTGTGACAGTGAAGTTGTTGAAATTGCTGTCCCCAGTAGACTGCTCGTTGATTGCGCAATTCAATTGTACAACTATAACTGTGTAAACCTGTCGTAAAGTACAAGACAATTAATACACAATGTTATTGTTCAAACTTGTACTGTGAGATTCGTTTCCATTAATTAAATAGTTCATATCTGTTTGTTCTCATCAAAACTTTGATCATAATCTGATGTTACTTTCTAATAGAAAATTCATAACAACGACCAGCGTTAGAGGTCTTAAATGCAACGCCGTTTTTTTTTTGGCACCAGCTGTAAGGATTTACTGGTATCATTGGGCATAAACACAACATGAGTCAGTAACAGTTAGCAAATTTGCCACCATCAAACAATAGTTTCATTGCTTAAATTTCCAAAACGATCCACCATATTTGTTCTGTTAGAAGAGCATATGCTTATGAGAGCTAAGTTTGTGAGTTTGTCAAATAAGAAACATTTCAATCTAGCATAAAATATATGCAATTCTTGGCTAATGTGCACTTCTATTGGAGATGCACTTTTAATAAAGCAAATATGGTAATCAATATAAAGTATTTTATCCTAGACCTGCAACTATTCTATGTTCCTTTGTTATCAGAAATGGTCTTACCACATTGTGAGTCAACATCGTCAACAGGTGGTTTTCGTAGGCTGGGAATGTACACACTGAAACAAAAACAGCAAATAAAATTGTATGTTTGTCTGTCTATATTATATGACACACTGAGAATAGAGCAACCTGATAGTCATTATCTTACCACCACTCACATGCACCCTTTTTGACTAGGCACATATGCAAATTAAAAAAATAACACCCCTCCAAAGGCGAGCATACCATGAGATTGCGACTAGTTTCACAACATATATATGTTTCTTGTTAGAACTTGAAGTAATGTTGATATATTTTAAACCGTCCAAAAAAACATAAATTCCGGAAATGGCTGATGCCCCTTTAAGTCTTGTTGATAAGTATTGTTTAATACCCTACCTATCCGAAGTTGCCATGGAACATCTCTGTACAAGCTGATGGTTACCAATGGACAGCGAAACAAACGCCAATTCACCACCATCCTATTGACAAATAAAATTCACATTATAGCATTTTGACTCGTTGATTTCGTAAGCAGAATTAAGGAAACATACACTGACTGGTCACTCTGCTGACATATGTACTAGAGCAAGGGGTTCAAATTAAGACATGTCTACTTACCTGCCATGTAGCAAGCATCAGACCATAAGTTAAAATGTAAATGTTCACAGTTCCATCTTGACCATCAGGTGCATTCTGGGAGGAACTGTTAATTGGTTGATGTAATAAAAGAGATCTTTGGCAAGGACTAGAGAAAAGAAAACAAAAAGACAAAATGAACACAACATGTACCTATATGCATTACTTGAGATGAAGTGTCACTCAAACTTATTGGGGAAAGTTGTTTTTTGTTTACATTATGAAAATAATATTTACATTATGACATTTTTTATAAACTGAATTCAACAAAAGACGGTTTATACTTATGAAATACTTATAAAAATGTATAAACTAAACTGTTTTCATTTTAAATTAGTCTCATTTGCATCTAAACGATGTATGAAATCAGTTTATATAAACATCCATTCATTATAGTGCTCATGCATTTGTTAAAAAGTGTTAAAACAGCTGACGTCACTGCTAGAGCTTATAAATGATTCACAATGTACATAGCTAACTTTAGTATAACTTACTGAACATGTAATTACAGTAATGTATATA